CTAGTAAAAGTGGGACAGGCCTTCGCGTTGTTTTTGGTCAGCAGTAGGTTTTCATCTCTGAACCTTACCGTGGATGTCTCTTTGTTTTATGAACACAGCGGATAAGTTCTGCTGTGCTTCATTGCTCTGCGTTCATTTAAGTCCTTTTGAATGAGCCGTTAGATGCGTTTCCATTGACCATAAAATGAACAAATTGGAATTACGAAAATGAGTTTGCCTAATGGAAACGTGCCAATTTAGAAAAAAAATGAAACAAATGGTTTTCAATTAAATGCTTTAGCGGTAGGATGAGGTCGTTTTTCAGCTGTATCAGAATTTGCATATCTCGTAAATTTACACAAATTGGAATTACCAAAGTAAATTTTCTTAACAGACACAACGGTTTTGAAAAAACTCACATTTTTGGATGAAATGTTTTTGTTCCAGGATGAGGTAGTTTTTCAGTAATATAATTTCAGTATCTTGCAAAACTGCAATATAAACACTTTTTTCGTATCATAGAAGTCGTGTGATCAACAACTGAATGTTACTACTGGTGGAAAAGACGAAGGAGACGACAGGAAGTGGTGGGAGGATGATGGTGCAACATGTTTTTTAATGGCATTGCGTGAACAAACTTATTCATGTGTGATTTTAATTGTGTTTCTTATTAAATTGAAACACCAAATTACTAAATTGTGTTTTTCTTTTTCACATTAGTGGATTATCGACTAAATGTAGCTCCCATTTGTTGTGGAGCTACAGCTACTGATGGGGTCCTGGAGTAACTTTGGTGGGCTGACCAACCCTTGTTTTCTGTAATAGCAGATAACGACCCTCCCTGTTGGTTTCTGGAGTCCCAAAGCCTTAAAATGGCTTCGTAACAGTTTTCAGACTATTAGACCTTAACAGATATGTTTAGTTTTTAAGTCTTTTGGTCTTCATGCTGTCAGACAGGTTCTATGTAAATGATTTCTCATTTCTTCTGGGATGGTTACATTTTCACATCAGGATAGCCTTGATTAGACAGTTTCTCCCCTCATTAACGAAGCACTTTTTAAACATTTTCTTGTATTTAATCAATCAGGATCTCTTTGTCTGATACTAAACATTTTTTGGTGAGCTGAAAATCTGAAACATACAACAGAAGATTAGTGCTACACTAAGATAATATAGAGAATAAAGTCATAATATCTTTTAGTAATTTTATTTTTTATTTTTACTTAGTATGGCCCTATTACTCCATCATACAAACATGTAAATGAGGAACAAAAAAAACCTTTTCATTTAGCGTAAAATACTTTTTCACATCATTCTGGGTTTGAAGTGTTTCTAATCTCCTTGACCCGACCTTAGATACATTTCCTCCTAGTACCACTTTTTCCCCTCTAAAAAAATAATACATCATGATTAGAGTTTCAAATAGAGGAGGGGAAATAGTAGTGAGAGAGCCACAGTTTAATAACTATGCGTCCAGTGTACCTGCGACCCAAGCTGCTGCTGCTGCTGCTGCCTGTGATTGATTCTCTGGTTTGTATTGATTGTGTCCAGCCCTGCAAATTCAATCAAGGCCAGATATAGGAAAGCAATCACTGTGAAGACATATGTGGAAAGTTATAAAGTAATAATTTGATCTGGGTCTGGTGTGTACAGGGGTAGCTTCAGTTATTTGTTGAGTGTCCCTCTGCTTTTTTTTTTCTGTATCCATTGAATTTTATATTTCCAACAAAGCTGCATAAGAATAAATGTTTTGACAATAAAGAAATAATCTGTTATTTATTTTTGTCCCCCGAGCACTGATTACTTACTGAAGTCCACAGCTACTGGAGGTCAACATTCAAATGACAGGAGACAGTTAGCTAGCTAGCTTAGCATCTGTTAAGGTAAACAGGTGGGGGAAAAAAATATCTTTATGACAAAACCTTTGATTAAAAACATTGTATACAATTCTGTTTCTGTATTCCAGCATTTACTTAGAAAAAAATTAAGATAAGCTAATTATTTTTGTCAACCTGTTTCTAGATATCATTCAAAATTTTTTAACTGAAAGTAAAGTAATCATGTGATATCTTATTAAACCATTATCAGTTTTTATGTGTTGTACAGAGTCAGCAAAAGAAGCTCTGGATCAGCTAAACAGCTAACTCCAAACATTAACTTAAGCTAGCATAGCATAACCTCCTTTTGATATAACTATGCAATAGCTAACTGCATTGTTTGGTTTTTGTTTATTTTAGTTTTGTTAATGTAATGAAATCTTGCAACTTTATCAAAGCAGGAGTTCTTCTAATTAGACTGGTTCTTTATTTTCTTCCTTTTACAAAGTCTACGCTAAGCTAACATCACTGAGAGCTGACTGCATCAATTAGCTTTGCTCAAACTTTCTGGTTGAAAGCTACTAGCTTCTCGTTGAAGCTGTTTGGTGTTTTGAGATGCTATACAGAAATTAACCTTAATGAACATGATAATGGTGCAGCACATTTATGATGTAAATGTTCAACTAGATAAGGACACTTGTAAATTGAGAAAACCAATATATTGACTATTGAAGCCCATATTTGATTGTTTTTATAGAAATATTTGTATTGTCAACCAATAACTGGGTCATTAGTCTTTTGCTGTTTTTTTGTAGGTCAGAAGCAGAAAGGTTTGGAAATCTTTAGAGCATCAGTGCTGTAAAACTAACGATGGTGAAACAGTTTTACTGTAAAATCAGGCTACAACTTTTGGTAGCCTGAAACACAGGCAAGTTTGTTTAATACCTGTTTTATTCAAAAGTTACTTTAAACTTCATAAACAAGCTTCTTCAGTACTCTTCTTCTCACTGGTTATGACTCTGTCTTTGCAAAGGATTTTATTGAAAAAGTTTGACGAAGAAAGTTGCAAGATCTGGGTCTCAGTCTTCAAGTATCCTGTAGGTTCTGGATGTCCCAACACAGCTGAATTAATGGATGAATTGGCTTCTCAGTGTGTTGAGTTCTGCACATAAACTATTCAGTTGGTAAACCAGGGAAACATCTGAAATATGCAGGGCACCAGCTCTTAAGGACCAGTGTTGACTGCCCCTCCGCCAGAGTGCTATGTTAACTTTAATTGGATTATTTTTTTCCAATCACTAGAGTAGCTTGTTTTGATACAACCACAATGAAATTAACATGTTAGAAGACAAAATCTATTCAACTTACATACAAAATAAGAGCGGCACTTGGCGCAGACCGACGTAAGAAGCTCTTTACATGATTGCAAGCATAAAGTGGTGTGGAGAGTTAACAGGATGATAAATCAGAAAAGCCATGGTGGTTTCCTGAAAAACACACTTCATCCAATTTTTAAGGGGCCTCAGGCTGATTACTGATAAATGAAGGTGCTGCAGGCAAGACTTCAAGCTACAGCAGTATCTGTAGTAACCGACGCTCTGCTAAAAACGTCAGCATTGCATTTTTTTATGCCATTCAAACTTCAAGAGGCCAGTAGTGATCTCGCAAGACTGACCTACACAAAGGGTTGAATTGAGGTTAGCCGCTTGTAAAGCGTGTAATTGCTACAATGAGCCACAAGGTGGCGACAAAGCTGCGCACATGACAATGAACGTCTCAACAAATTGAATTTAAAAAGATAAAAAGAAGGAAATACATGACTGTCATTTTTGCTGATTTTGACAAAGGATAAAGCTAAAATCAACTATACTGCTCACATTTTAGTTTTCTCTATTATTATCTTATAAATATTAATTCAGTCTCATTTCAAAGAGCTAAGATTATTTTTAAGCTAGTTAGGTTTTGATTTATTACCCTTTTTTCCTAACAATGACCAAAATAATAACTTGAGACAGTTGGCCTTATTGACAATGTCTTTTTACTTACTACTTATAAATAAAGAAATATATTGTTATTACTACAATCAAGGATTATTAATAAATATAGTTTATCATTTTAAGCTATACCTCCAGCTTTAGCAGTGCCGCTGTAAATAATGGCAGACTTATTCCGAATGCTGAAGTGAAAATTAACTGAGCCTAGAGAAAGCTGACGGTGGCCATGATGGATCACTTTCCTTTAGCTTTAAGAGAACCTGTTCTTTAATTCATGTTGGTTTCATGTGGAGAATAACAATAAGATTTTTTATAATAAACACCTCTTTGTGTGTGGAATCTGATTTCAGTGTGATCATTTGCAGTGCCCGTGCGTTTACAGCTAAAAGGCTCATCTACCTCTGATGTATGGTCGACGAGAAGATGCTCTTTTAGGGCTGGGATGGATCAGCACCACGGGCAGTGACAGAGAGCGCATTAGGCAGCGCCATTAAAATCAGCACCACGGCCAGGGACGGAGATCTGTTTGAAACGTGATGCAGCAGCACCACCCAGTGGTAAAGGTGGGGAATAGCAGCAGACTGTAATATTTCATTATCTTGCAGCACAGTACACTTAATCGTTGACTTGAAAGGCCAGAGGCGACTCATTTATCTCACAATGTGATTAATATGATGAGAAAAATGTACTGTATGAGTGAATTGAAGGAAATGACTAAAAACACAGTGGTTAGCTTTGACAACTGTAAATATGTTAAGTGTTTATTGCACTTTTACTGGGCTTGGGAAATAATTAATATTTACGTATTTCATACTGTTTAAAGTCCTCTAGGTCTTCAGTTTTTACTGGGGTTTTTTCGTGGTGGAAAGTCAAGCTAGTGTTTTCACAACAAATGGCGTAACGACCCGACTAAGGCTTTTCGAGTTTGGGTAGCACGAGCTTTTAATTGGATTAGGATTAGCAGCACGCTAACTCAAATACAAAATGCAACATGTAGAGTCATTTTTTTCAGTTGTAACTAGTCCCTGGCGGAATAATACCTGTAAAACCAGCTTCTGTGGTTTATTAAGTCGAAATAAGCGTGTAGAAAGAAAGAAAACGTGTTTAGGCCCAGTGGCGGAGGCTTTCTTCTCATCCTTTCCTCGACGTAGACAGATAGACTCGACTGTCATCGAAAAGATTCGGATAGGTTCGGGTACGCATGCGTCCTTCGGCTGGTTTGCTGCGGCTCTGTTTGAGCCTGACAGCTGTGTCAAGCTAGCAAAAACAGCAACGTCTCCTGTCCAGAGCTACACAAAGTAAGACAAATGTAATGTTCTTCGTTGACCAGTTTACTATTGACGATTTACAGACATGTTTTGTAGCATATTTTCCGAACGAAAGACTATCAACGTTTACGTAAAAATATAGATTACACTCTAGGAGCTTGAATGTATCATAAAGCTACCCGCCTTCAATCAGATATACCTTCAAATCTAGGATGTAAATATTGACACAGATTTGTTGTGTTAATAAAATAATATACTATTTGATTAATTTATCCATCTGCTATTATAGCCAACTGTGAGCTACATATAAAACCTAAATGGACTACAAATTATTCATACCTGTAGAAATGACATTTTTCTACTTTCCAAACTAATTGTGAAGTGAAAGATTTTTTTTAAATAATTATAAACCATTTTGTTTTAAAAGATTAAGCATGACTTTTATTTAGGTGATGAAATTAAATAATTAAAAAAAACATAAACATAACACAGTCCGTCCATAATATGTTCAAAAAGGGTAGAATGAAGCTCATCTTTGTTTTCTACCCCTAAAATTAATAGACTATCTGGTTTCAACTGTCTTTACAAATAGAAATATGAAGAGAGCAACTCCTTTACTCTTATAACACTAAATAAAATGGTTGTTTGCGCCATTAAAGTCTGTCACTCCGAATTTATTATTAATAAGTCACTTCTTAAAACTGTTGATTGCACTGGCTTTTATCAAGGGATATAAGAATTAACAAAATAAATACATAATTTAAAATATAAAGTGGACCGGATTCAAATGCACGCTACGCATTACAAATAAATAAATAAATAATAATAATAATAATAATAATAATAATAATAATAATAATAATAATATTCCTTCCATTTCAGAATTTATTCACTTCCAACCCAGTGACATTATTTTTAAACAATGATTAATTGATGCTTGTAGCAATACAGACAAAAAAAGTGGAAAAAGTCAATAAGCACTTTTTTTAAGCAAGAAGCATTCTGAATCTAAAACGAAAAGTAAAAATGTGCAAAACACTTAAAAATAAAATGTAAAAACAACGACAAAATAGGAATATGATTATTTTTATTCAGCGCAACATTAAAACCTAATGTGGGGATCAAAAATTGGATGCTTTCTTGGACATTCAGTGTCGTTAACGAACGCTTCATCAGCGACAAACTGGACGTATTTTACTCCAAAATCGATTAAGCTGCTTTTATTTTTGAAGTTCCCACCGGATGTGGACTTCTTGCTTCGCGCTCTCCAGCTTGATACCCGTCGGGTCGACAGACGCTGCCTTGGAAACGACATAAATCCAGTGCGTGCAGCTGGGTTTCGAGCGGGGACCTACATTTCCTCACTTCAAAGGCTTCCGCCCCTCTTCTGTCCTCTTCCACCTCTTCTCCATCCCTTCCTCCATCCATCCATCTCTTCCTCCATCTATCAGCCAGCATGGGGGATCTGAAATGAAGCGCGGCGCAGCGGAGGAGGCACGGCGAGGAGCTTCGAAATAACCGAGAGCGAGAGAGGAGGTGACGGGAGGTGCCGCAGCCAGGTAAATGTGAGCGGATTTCCAATCAGCTTCGCATGCCACGGCCGTGGCGTGGAGCCGTGTCCATGCGGGGGCACGTAGCCACGGTGGAGACTGAGGGGGAGGGTGGGAGAAAGGAGGATGATGCATTTGTTTTTGTTATTGTTGCACGCAAAACAATAAAATAAAAATAAAAAGACAATACGTGCGTACAAACGTGATCAAATAAATGCGCGCGGATTTATCTGTATGTGTATGTTTTAATGAATTAACGCAAGACAGGCGCTCCTTTTGCACCATTCACACCATTTTCTCCTCCCCTGTGTGGCGGCGGCGCGCTGGTCAGGTCTCTCTCTCTCTCTCTCTCTCTCTCTCTCTCTCTCTGCTTGCCTGCAACAAAATGTCACCAGTTGGGAGGATTTTTCTTGCAGGATTTGGCAGAAAACACGCTTCAGGCTTCCAAAGAGAGAGGCAGATAGAGGGAAGGAATGGAGTATAAAGAAGAGGAGGTGTGCGGAGGATTCTGTCTGTAACGGGGATCCAGTGGATCTGCTCAAAAGTAGCTGCTGAAACAGAAGAGAATGGCACCAGATCTATGCTAAGTGTTGACATAGGGTGTGCTTTAAAATGGACGGCATAGAGATGTTGTTTTCAGTCTAAAAAAACATTATTATGATGATGATGATTATTATTATTATTGCTTTTTGATGTTACAGCTTTTGTTGCTTTAAACATGCCTTCATGTTTAAAGTCCTCCTCCGTCTAAGCCAGGGGTCCCCAAGCTACGGCCCGCGGGCCGGATCCGGCCCGCCACGTCATACCAGAGAGCATTCAGTGTTTTTTTTCATATATTGTATTTTCTGGTTTATATGTGGATTTTTTTATATGGGGCTCTTGAGCAAATGTGAAACTAACTTTCCCTCAATGGAATATATACTAGTCAGTCCCAGTCTCACTCACGGTTTTTTCCATTTTCATTCTGGGTAAAAATCTATCTACAAGCGCGAATGTGTCGTCGCCAGGCATTTCCTGTCATTGCAAACGAATAGCTCAATCCTTGTCCCGTCAGATAGTAAAATTGTCCCCCAGACATTTAGTTTATTCACATTAGCAGATGGAAAGTTGATTTTGATGATGAGAAACTGGATTCATTATTGTGGACTTTGATGCTGCTGCTCTAGTGGCTTGTAGTTCATGACGCTCTTAAGCTTTGGCGGATTGTTCCTGGTCATTTGAGGGTGATTGGTTTGATCTGAACCGACCATGTTTACGTGTGCAGTCATATTCATCCCAGGCGGGAAAATGAACGCTTCAAATGAAACAAAAGTCCAAGTTTTTACTTTAAAACATGTCAGAATAAGAGACGAATGACCAGACCTGATATATATTTTATGGCGATTTGTAAACGGTCGTCCTCATCATAGCTGCTCTCTCTCCATTCGGAGTCCACTTCAGGGGGTTCTTTCATGTCTGAACTCGGATTAGATAATAGGCTTTTTTTTAATGCTTATTTGTGAAGCTGCTGTACAACAGAGTCGTATTCATGAGAGGCTGTGCTCACAGAAGCTTGTGCTGATTTATTACATAAGCCAATGATAGAGGAAGAAGGGCCAAGAAGCCTCAACTCGCTCACACATGGATACTTAACTTCAATGAGTGAAAACGAAATATGGAGGGAGGCCTTGGTTGGTTGGATAAAAGGAAATCTTCTGGAATTTTGCAGCATCTTGTATGCTCCATGATTCAAGAAAATATTTGGTGGTTAGACCACCAATATGTTGGTGGTCAGCTTGTTTATCATTTATTGTGATAAGACTGATTTGTCATTGTCGCGGTAAATTCCAGTTAATGATGTTTAAAACCTCCTAAAAGTGTCCGTATTGTTGGAACTATTTTTTTTTTGCTATTCCACTGTTTGTTCAGTTAATGTGTGACAGTAAAATATCAATAGATTAGAAAATGTGATTAAATGCAGTCACTGTGTGGATTTTAGTGACACAAATCACACGTTATGTGCCTGGTTGTCCTAAGGAAGCGTATTGCTTTATTATTTAAGAGCTTTTATTTGTGTTTGTGGGACTATAATTCCTGCGACACTCAGTCACAGCCATGCAATTTCTTAAAAATATAATAAATAGTTAACGTCACCTTTATCGTTATTGTAATACTACCACAAAATATCGTGATAGTACTTTAAGTTCATGTTGCCCGCTGCTAGTTTAGAGTAAATATTATTCATGACAATACTGCTTTCAGGGGCAAATCCACCAAACACTCGTTCATGGTTTGAAAAATCCTCCATCATGTTGTTGCATGTAGATCTGCTTTTTTGGCTTCACTGTCATGATAAAAGGTTTGCTAATGATTAGATACACCAGTGTTTCTTAACCCTGGTCCTCACCACCCTCCTGCTCTGCATGTTTTAGATGTTCCTCTATTCCAAAACAGCTGATTCAAATGATTGCATGACAGTCAGGTACTGCAGGAGCCTGTTAATCACCCAGAGGAACAATTCAGGTGTTTGGCAGAAGGGAAACACCTAAAACATGCAAGACATGGGGGCGGTGAGGACCAGGGTTGAGAAACACTGAGATGCACAGTAATTAGTCGTGAAGAGTTTTATTAGCTTTACTTCATGGCAAAATAAAATAAAATTTCCACCAGTGCAGAGCTTGTTCAACAGTTGGTTTTCCGCCTGTGACTACAGTCACTTAAACTAAAAAACACTTTATCCTGTGAAAAATACTTGTGTGCTGTGTGATTTATGAGTAGAGCAATGAGGAAATGGTCAGCAATGTTAGTACAGTTAGTTCACAAACGTTTAAGGAAAATAGAAATAGTTACTGCAAAAGGACAATGACTATTTTAGTAATCAATTCTTTGATTGATGATTAATTGATTAATCGGATTAAAAAAAATTCAGCATTCTGCAAATTTTTTATTTTATCACTTGAGCATTTTTATACAATATAAGAAATATAATAAAAATGCAACAAACAAGTAATTAAATTCTTTTTTAAAAATAAGAAAAAAACATTTTATTTCCTGAAATGCAACTATACAGCATTCCTCTAGTGTAAACTTGATTATTTGTAGCAAAGGATAACACATTGAAGGGCTAATCTGTTGATTATTTTTATGATTAACTTACTAGTAATTGGATAGCGAAAGGTGCTTAATACGACTTTTTTTTTTTTACAGAATTTGAATGTTAATAGATTATTAACTTAGGTCACGATTATTTCACTAATTGATTAATCATTGTTAATTGTGATTAATCACAATTTATCCGATCGTTTCATCTCTAGATAATTCAGTTATTTTCCTCATGCTTTAAAAAAGATAAATGAAAAATAATCTACTTCTTGCTTGCTTTTTAGTTTCTCCTAACAAATGAATCATTTAGTCAACAGTTTGTTTGTTTTTTTTGTTGAGGTTGGATTTTTAGTAAACATAACATTGTAGGTTTTGTCAGGATCTGGACACATTTTTTTAAAGCATTTATCTAGAAACCCCCCCCCCCCCCTTACATCTGTGAGACTGTAGCTTCACTCTGCCTTCACCTGTCGTCCTGACCCAAAATCCATCTGGTCCTTCTGGGGTCGTTCACAGTGCAACAATCACAGATACACGTGTGTGTGTGTGTGTGTGTGTGTGTGTGTGTGTGTGTGTGTGTGTGTGTGTGTGTGTACTTTGACCCAGCCACATAAGGACACTCATCGTCCTGCTCGTACCCCGGTCTGCCGCCTTCGCTGTTTCTGGCTGCTCTCTGATGTCATGAAAAATTTGTAGTTTTCTGTCTGGCTTTTCTTCCTCCCCGACTGACGCAATCTGCCTTAGTCAGCGGTTTCCAGGCTCGTTCATTTACAGCATGGAGATCGATGCTTCTCTGCGTGGAAATGGCGGCTGTTGCTTGGCGTTTTGGTGTTCATGCTCGGGTGTCCCTGGTGGGTTATTGGTGAAGCCAACGATCCTGCTTTGATCCTAAGTACTAATCTGTGGCCTCCTGCCTATGATAATATATCAAAGAAGAATGCAATAATTGCTGATCTGAGCACATCTAATAGGTAATATTGTCATTGCTCCTTCAGTTGAGCTTGTATTTTGTTTTCCCCCACTGAGGTCAGAAGTCATGGTGAGCTTTCACGGTTCAGTGCTTTATCTGAGATACCTGCAAAATTTTATAAATTGTTAGACAAAAGAGTGAAGGTAAAGCCTGATATTAGAGGAAGTCAGAGATTGTTTCCAGTGATGGAGAGTTTAAGTATAAGGTTTTTTCATTGAAGTGAATCCCCAGTATTCACGGGAGCTAGGGAGTTAGCTAAACTCTACAAATACTTGAGACGCTCCTCTAAAAACACTCAGAGTTTCTCATCTTAGAAGTTCAAATATCAACTATACCTTACTACAGTGGTGTGAAAAACAGCTAGCGCCTTCCCTGATGTTCTAATTTGTGGCATGTTTATCACAATTCAGTGTTCAGAACATCAAGCCAATGTAAATATTAGCAAAATAGCAGTTAAGTTATGTTTTAACAGGAGGGGAATCACTTTTTCACATAGGGCCATGTAGGTTTGGATTTTTATTTTCTCCCTCAGTAATAAACACCTTCATTTAAAAACTGAATTTTGTATTTACTTGTGTTGTTTTTGACTAATATTTCAGTTGATTTGATGTTTTTACACACTAGTGTGACAAACATGCAAACAAAAGCTATGAAATCAGGAACATTTCACATCGTTACATGTATTAGTCCACACAGTGGAAACTGCCTTAGCACTAGCAGAAGCTAATCCCTGCAGTGTTCGTTCTCTCTGCTTTTGAGAATTCAGCCAATCAGCGGCAAGGAAAGCAAATGGCGGCCCTAGATTGGCTGCTTTGCAAACGCCAAATGTCAAGCAGTGTTGCATGTAGTGCTTAATGTTTTAGCAAATACTGTATGGAAAAATCTGCGTCTAGGCAAATTTTCCGATAATTTTAAGTTATGTTCCACAGAAAAATGTTTGCCAGTCTATAAATACTTC